AGACTCTAATTTTAGTGTGGCTGTATTTTTTCTCTGAAGGAAGAAAGGATTTGAGTCGTTTGCCACATTTCCACAAGATGTAAATCTTGGGACACTCAAGAAGACAGAGAGCAGTTGGAGCTCCCATGCACATCTGCTGTGCGGCTCCAGCTCCCTGCCAGTTGGGCATCTTTGCTCTGCAGCCTTGAGCCTCTCAGCCCTTTTTGCCCACTAAGGGGCTGAGTGAGGATGGTAGATGGCTTCTGGCTTCTGCTAATTTCTCACAGACCTTCTGTAGCAACAACCATTAACTACTCCTGGAGAAAGAACCCATTTTCTTGCTCCCTCAGGCAGATCCTGTGTGCTCACAGCAGCACCTAATCTTCAATGATCTCAGCCCTCACACTTAGAATCAAGCTTCTCGCTGATCCTTTACTGAACTCTAAACAGCAGTAAGACAGAATTTATGGACCAAGAGTTATTTAAGGCCTGGGACTGACTAGCAATTCCTGTTTCCCATGGTTGTGGATATACTTCCCATCCCTTAGAAGGGACACAGAGACCTTGGTCACAGTCTATTAAATCCCACTTATTTCCATGCACTGATGTCAAAGGTATCAGGAACATGGAAGAAATTTCCAAAACTCCACAAGATGAGGTTAAAAGAAGATGTGGCTCAGTTTAGACTCTCCATGAGGGATTCACCTTGGCATTATTAACCATCTAAGCCTGCTTTGTAAGGTTGGATTCTGTGGCTTACAATGTGCACGCAGCAACCGAGCCCCTGACGAGAAGGGTTTTTACAGTTGTGGTGTTTTACTTACTCCTTGGATTCTTTTCTAACTAGAGATTCATTACCATGTAATCATCTGAACTATCATGAGCATCAGCTCTGTTAAGCACTATCAGTTTGGTTATGGATATATTTTATGTGTTCATGTTCTTAAGCCATAACTTCTTTCAAGGATTCCACTCTCCAGAAGATCTAGACTGTTGTCAATTTATGAGAAAGGTGGGTATTTATTTTTGGTACTTCCCCCTCATTCCTTCAACACCTATTTCTTTACCATGTGTCATTTCTCCTTTGCCCTTTGTCCAGATGGGGTCATTCAAAAACGGCCTAATTTTTAGCCTAACCTTTCCCCCAGTCCTTGCTGATAATGACTTAAGACGTCACTGCTCACAAAAGTACTTAAATTTTGAGAAAAATTGTGTATGGTTGAATATTAAGTCTCAGTGGTGGAATTTTGGGTAGTTTAAGGATGAAGTTGGGCTTTCACGGTACTTCAGACACACTGGAGCAGAGAATGGCCATATCCCCTTTTTTCAGATAAATGCAGAGATGACTCTTATGGTCTTGGATTGGAGAAAATAAAATGAAATAGGAACCAGTTGGGAACTGTTTGAGCAAAGGACAAAGAAGATCCTTGGACAAAGGACTTACAAGATCTTTATTGTTCCAAGGGAAAAGTGGTATGTGAGGGAGCTCGGCCTCGGAACAAGAAACAGAATTAACTGAAGGAGTCAGCCTTACTCATCAAAGATTTCTACACCATGGGTTGCAAGGGAAAAATAGAACTTGAGAAGAACTATTGTAGAAGAAGGCTTGACATGCTATGAGAATGTGTGGGCTAGTGTCCTTGGTCTATCTGGAAAGAATCTTTTAAAAAAAGTTTTAGTGGAACTTAAAAATATATTTAAAAATTTGTACAACTGGAAGAAATGATTTGAGAAATGCCCTGAGCTGTGTTTGAGGGATGTTTGGCTAAGTTGAAGGTGAGTATGGTGCTCTAGATGGGAAAATCCAATCAGTAACCCAATTCTGCAGGGCTTCTAAGATTTGGTGAGTTATTTTAGACTCTATTCTCTATTAGTAAGCCACTTTTAGAGAATGCTATTCTTTAAAACATAACTGTGGCCAAGATGGATTTAAAGAAAAAAATGATATGGTCATGTGTTCACAATTTGGAAAAGAGGAAAGATTGTCTCTAATAAAATGTGAGTCTATTTTGCAGGGACAAAATAAGCAGTGTAACTGCAATGCATAAGCCCCTTTTCCATGTATGAGTTCTTTATCATCATGGAACAGCGTCTGGCAGTCAAGTTATCTTTAAAGTAATAAGAGCAAAAGCTATTTGGAAAATGCGTCAGAGCCATGTGTACTTTGCACAGGACTGTGAACAAATAGGATTGCACTAAGGCATTTGCCATGGTGTGTGGCCGTGCACGGCTGCTTGCTATCATATGTACTTTCATCTCAGCTGACGCCTGTGAAAGGTTCCTGCCACCATATTACTCAAAGACCCGGAGTGTCAACAGGATAATCGAAACAGCCAAATGGGAATCAGTTTGCCTACTGTCTCTAGAAATATTCAGAAGACCATTTCTTTTTGTATTCCTTATATTCAGGGCACAAAACCCTCCCATATATCTAATCTTTGCTAGGTTAACCATTTCAAAACAAAGTGATTTTCCAGTTGCTTTTCAGTTTAAGCCAAGAATTTTGGGAACTTCCAACCTTTTCACCTGAATTTACCATAAAAGAAGAAAAATAAGACAAAAGGTAAAATAAATGCATTCAATCGAACAACACTGTCTTTGTGTAAAAATGCTAACAGCATATAATGTAAGAGATATGAGCACTAGATCTAGTTTTGAGAATGTCTGGCCTGATTGACTCTATTGTCTGGGAATAACTTTTGAGTGGGTGTCATGTGGGTATTTCCAGGCCAGCCCCAATGTGTGAGGCCCTCCAGCATTCTCCTCCCCTCTGCAACCATATCTGTCAACTTTCCAGAGAGCTGTGGCTTTGGAAACTCGAGAAGAGAGACAGAGAGGAGCAGAACTCCCCACTAGCCCACAGCCAGCACATTCTAACAGCAAAATCCTTCCCTGGGGTATTTATTATCATGGTTGACGCAGCCTCTGGAGAGTCTGCCTGGGATGGATAGGGTAGAGATATGCCGATAGTGATGGCCACAGCTGGTGTCCAAGCCACTTTAGGCTGGTATTTCCTATCGTTAGAAATGCTGAATTATGGCCTGGGCAGCCCCTTGATGGGGAGGCTGTAGAAAAGGAAGGAAGGAAGGTGGTTGGCTTGAGAACTTCCAGTGTGCGTTCTAGTGTACAGGAGTTAGCTGTAATTCTTAGGTTAGTGACTGCCTTCTTATGGCTACTAAGATCACAGGGACATATGGCCCCACCCAGCTTACCTCCAGACACTTGCCTACTGAGGGCATCATGATCCCCTAACCTCAGCCTCCCTTGTAACTTGGGATGACTAAACCCAACTATGGATTGAAGACATGTCTCAAGAATTTTTCTGCCTGCTCTTAGCCTTCAAAGAAGCTAGGATTACAAACTTAAGTCACAGATGCTCTGCTCCAAGGCTGGTTGCTATCCTTGCTAGCTTCTTCCTTCTAGGACAGACTTGTTTGCTACAAGACTGAAAACCAGGGTCAATGAATTTAGCCTTGTCTTGCTCAGAGTCAAACTGTCACTCACTTTCTCTGTGGTTTTCAGCAATGCCTCCCACACTTCAGCTTGACATTAGCAGTGAAGAATTCTCACACTGTATCAAACCATGTTCTCCAAAGCAAAGCAGAAAGTCCTTGGTTATTCCTGAAGGCCTCCACTGTTAGGCTTCTGGGGACAAAATGTGGTCTCACCAGATTTTCCATGAGCGTATCTCCTCTAATCCATAGTCTCCATTTCCCAGCAATAGACTTGGAGTGGGCTTCTTGGTAGAGTATCGGATACAGTGTAGAAGCCTGTCTCTTGGAGGATATCTAATTTGTCAGCAAGAAATAGCATGCTAGTTCTTACAACTGCACGTGTGTTTTTTTCTGGTATGGAGGGAGGTTCAGATACAGGATCTTGGATCCTGGCTTGCTTGCTCATAGCTGGTGCTCTAGACTTCAACCAGGCTTCTAATCTGGCTTTCTGCTGGTTCACTGGAGGTGAGTCATATGGACTTTTCTGTCTGGTCTGGTTTTAAACTGAGATTCCCCCAGAAACCAGATTCCTGAGTAGCTAGGATTGTAAGTGTGAGCCACAGTGCCTGGCTCTATGTAATTTTTAGTTTAGCCCTTGGTCTTGCTGCTATTCTGTCCGTGTTTCACCTGTCCCTGTTTGGAAGCCATGAAGGACTGTTGCTCTGAAGGCAGCTTGCATTTGGATGCCCACCAGCTGGGCTGCCACAGTTCTGAAGGCTTGGTGGCTTATCTGTTATGAATGGGACAGGCTGCCACTATTCTGCTTAGATGCACAGTGCAGCCATCTCCTCCCGGAATTTTTGTACACCTATCTTTCTAGTTATGTTTCAAGGATCCTTTTTTTCCACTACCCATAGAATGAACAAAAATCTCTGATCTAAGCATCTAAGCTCTTCTAGTAGGGTAAGAAGAGAGTCAATACATAATCTCAAAAGATCCTGTTTTTACTGTATTTCTGCCACAGTATTCTTCTCCTGAAGTTCGGGGTTCTAGCAAGTTACTGGTGCTTCAATTCTGCCTACCTTTGCTCTCAGCAATGAACACAAGCCTTGCTTCCTGCTTGAGGGCAGAAAGGAAAGGGTGAAGTAAAAGGCGAAAAGAAAAAGTTAAACAGAAACATGTTAACATCTAAAAATATTCTGCCACATTTGAAAGACGAGAGAGTTGACTTCATTAGAGAGGTTCCATTGGGTGAGAGGATTGTTCTTGAAAGTGGGGTTTCTGGAGTTGCAGGGGCCAAGGTGGACCAAGGCTCTCAGAATTCTCTGATGTCATCACTGAGGTCAGAGAATCCTGCTATGGGCCTGGTGACCTTTGAACCTTAACAGCCCTGCACGGTACTGAGCTCTGGGCAGGTGGCTGGTTCACAGAGTGGTCTGAGTTCTTCCGCCATCCAGAGACTTGGGTATATTTATTTGTATTGAATCATTTCAACGGATTTCCTGAGTCAATAAGGGCCAGTCTGTAGGAAGAAGGGGAGGTAGACACCACTCTAGACATCCCTGAAGGGCCTTTTCTAGCTATACTATGAAACGAAGACAAAAGAGAAAACACCTGGAGAGTGAGGAGCCCCAGGAAGATGAAGAGCTGGGAGGAGGTATGCGCTGGGAACAGGGGCGCTGCGCAGCCCAGCCTTCTCTAGGAGGGCAGGGCTGAGCAGGGTGGCATGTGTAAGTCAGGAGGGGCCTGGCATCCGTGGACACTGCTGATCTCTAGGGTACGAGATAGCATAAAACATACAAATGCCCTCGAAGACAGGAAGCAGATTTCCTGGGCTGCAGCTTCTTCCAGAGGCTGGCCCCTGAGACTCGACTGCAACAAAGACCAGGGTCACAGCCACCCAGCGTGGAGATGCAGCTTTTCCAAGTTGCCTCTTTCACGCTCTTTGTTTGCTGTTTGCTTAGGGTCAACTGAATGAGCACTGTGAACAAGAAATTTGAGTTGTCCTTCCTTTCAGGGAAGTGGGAAAGAGTAGGCTAATGAGTGTGTGAGTGAGGGCCTTGGTGAGAGGGGCCTTGATGGCTGACGTGAGTGGTCCAGAGGCAGAGTCACGCTGAGATCACAGAGACTGTACGCCCTCAGCAGAAACAATCACCTAACCGTCCATCAGAGTTTGTGACTGCACAGGTTTGGTGTTTCCTGAGGAACTGAAAAGTGTGTGTGTGTGAACCTCACAGAGAACATGACCCAACGGACGGGGCCAGACTTCACAGGAACCAGAGGGAGTCAGGTTGCATGTTAACGGCATATATTAGATGTAAACGAAAAAGGTGAGAGCCAGCTGGAGGCGTCTGGTCAAATCAGAGCCCGGCAGTTCGTATAGTGCCCAGGATAGACTGGGCAAGAGGCCTGGAGTGCAGGCAAACTTCCAGGGGCATGGACACACAGCCCATGGCTGGGACAGTTCTCCTTTCACTAAACTCTGGAGGGGGTGTGTGTGCGCGTGTGTGTGCATGTGTGTGTGCGTGTATGTGTGTGTGCATGCGCGTGCATGTGTGTGTGTGTGCATGTGTGTGTGTGTGTGTACTCTCAACTCTTTTCTGTCTCTAAATACCTCTATAACGAGTCAAATGTTCTAATATGCCACATCTATAACACAATATACAGCAACACCAGGGCTATTCTGTACAACATACAATGAGGCAAAGATTCATTTCCACCTCCTTAAAGAAAATATATAATGTCCAGGCTGGTCTTGGTGGCTAATGACTGTAATCTCAGATACTCAGAAGATAATCAGAAGAATCATGGTACAAGGCCAGCCTGGGCAAAGGGTTAGTGAGATCCTATCTTAACAAAAAAGTTGAGCATGCTAGTGTGTACCGGTAATCCCAGCTACATGGGTGGCATGGGGAGATGGATCATGGTCCTAGGCTGGCTGGGCTCGGAGTAGGGGTGGGGGATGACACAAGGCACTATCGGAAAAAGTAATTAAAGTAAAAAGTGCTGGGTCATGTATTAAGTTGTACAGTGCCTGCTTAGCAAGCAGAAGCACAAAGCCACAAGTTCAAACCTAGTTCCACCATTATATATGTCATATATATGATATATAATATGTATTATATATTCCTATTAAACTTGAATTTCAGATAAACCACAAATGATTCTTTTTGTTGTTGTTGTTGGTTGTGGGGCTTGAACTCTGGGCCTGGGTGCTGTCCCTCAGCTCTTCAGCTCAAGGCGAGTGCTTTACTGCTTAAGCCACAGTGTCACTTCCCACAAATGATTCCTTTAAGACGAATTTGTCCTGAGTATTGAATAGGATCTACTGGCTCTAAAATCATTTGTAATTTATCTGAAATTCAAATTGAAATAGGAGTCAGGTATTTTTGTTAAATCTGGTAACTATGAGTTGACCTGTCATATACTTAATGCTTCTGCTTAGTGCCTGCCTTTTGAGATTAAACTAGAAGGTCCAGTTAGAAGATGGGTTTTATCTGGTCTAATATCCCAGAACACAGAGTGGGGAATACTGCCTGATACGTAGTAGCCGTTCACTATGCGGATTTAGTAACTGTTTTCTACTTGTCAATCCTGAGCTGTGAATACACAATTCTCCACAGACCCAGACAAGCACTTCCATTCTGTTCCCTGCACTGACCCCATGCTTATCAAAGGTTTCCACGTGAGCCGTCCATACTCAGTCATCTCACAGGCCTACATTCCTAACAAGACACTAATAAAAGGGCCTTTGACTATGATGAAATACCGGTGCGTCCACCAGGAGCCAGACGCGAAGGCTCTCTGTAGTCTCCATACAGGGCATGCATGTCAGGTGCTGGCTAAGTGAACAATGTACAAGCATGCCCACTCCACCGTATCTCAAGCGCCCTTTGTCCTTTTTCCAGGAATTTCAAAGATACAAGAGGATGGCCCTCAGCCTGGACCCACTGCAATGGCCACAGTCTGGAGCCCAGGGGTAGGGGAGGTCTCCTCTGCCTCTGAATACTTCTCCTGTGTTTCTCCTCCATGCAAGCTCGGCCATGGTAGTAAGGGTGCAAGGCTCTCGGGGTGAGACACTTTGGGTGTGTGGCTCCTGTGTAAGGCTAGAGGCACGTAGCTTATTCAGGCACAAGGTGAGAGGAGGCCCAGGGCAGCTGGAGTGGTCAGCTCTGTGGAGGGGTCCAGGGGGGCTCAGAGCTGTGAGGCACATGGATGGGAGCTTGGTGTGGGAGGCCAGGAGCCCTGGTGTGATCATGTGGGAGTTGGGGGAAAGTGACCAGGGGGATCTGGACTGGAGCATCAGGCCAAGCGGCAGAGTAAGCACCTCTGCAGGGACTATACTCTGCCTATGTCTGACTACCAGAAAAGGACAAAAGGACTGTGTCATACCAGGTCTTTAGCTGTACAGCTACCATGCGATGATATTCCACACAGGTGTATCTAGTCTTGGCACATACAACAACACTCAAATGTGTGATGCTATGCTATTCTGCCCCTACTTTCCACAAACAACATGCCAATGAGCCACACGATCCTACCCCTGCTCCATGAAGTTCACAGCCCTGAAAACCACAGGCCATACTCCCATGTATCAACAGCCCTACAAACACAATGTCACCACCACACAGTTGACAAACATCAAGCTCCTCACACATTTATGCCACACCCTTTAGCTGCCGGGAGCCCCGGGCATCTTCTGATGCGTCTAATTTCTCTCTCTAGGATGCCAGAGAGTACAACAAGGAAGTCCCCAGGTCAGATCACCTGCAGCCCAGGCTCAGGAGCCAGGAGAGACTCCTGCCCCTTCACAGCAGGTCTCCTCATCCCATTCATCCTATCAGACCTGTGTGTCTTCCCTGCCTTTAAACACAGATGAAAAGGGCATGAAAATATACTACATGCAGGTACAAATGATAAAAGGTGTGGCTGTCTCCTGGGAGAGGGAAGAAACCTCCGAGATCCTAGAAAAGCAGCCACGGATGGAGGAAGCAGTGCTTCTGGGGAGCGTGCGGGTGGGCACGCCACCCTCCGACGTGTCAACCAGGAACCTCCTGTCTGACAGTGAGCCTGGCGGGGAGGAGAAAGAATACGAGGAGAAAGTAGAGTCAGACAGCACACCAGGGTCACCCGCAGTGGAGGAGAGGCCCCGGGCCAAGACGCCTGACTGGCTGGTGACAACGGAGAACGGCTTTAGGTGCATGGCCTGCTGCCGGGTTTTTGCTACCATGGAGATCCTTCGAGAACATGTACAATATGGAATCAGGGAGGGCTTCAGCTGCCACGTCTTCCACCTCACCATGGCTCACCTGATAGAAAATGTGGAATCAGAGAGCACCCAAGAGGAAGAAGAGGAGGAGGAGGAGGAGGAGAGACCAGAAGAGGAGAATGAGGAGCAGCAGCCCACAGAGGAAGACCTTGGACTGAAGAGATCATGGAGCCAATGCCCAGGATGTGTGTTTCACTCTGCAAAGGACAGGAAGTGAGCAGGGGCTGGGCACACTGAGGGGACAGCGCCTTTTCCTAGCCAGCACCCTTCCTCTAATCTAGATTTGGGCCAGCGTGAGGGGAAAACTGAGGGGCCAGTGCCTTTTCCAAGCCAGTACCCTTCCTCTAACTAGATTGGGGCCTCCATGAGGAGGAAACAGGAAATTCCCTAGTGTGGGGAACAAGAGAATCTGGAATTAACTGGGTCCTCTGCTTCTGCTCAGACACCTTACATGACTATGTCCAGGTTTGTCTGGAGTTTTCCAGTTCTCGTAGGGAGTTGAGACAATTTGTTAGGAGCAGCAGAACTCCCTTCTTTGTAACTAAGAAGTGCCTTTTACTCCCTTTCACATAGCAAGTGAGATTTATGGGCCAGACGATCCCGGAAGTTGGGGAGCCCTTCTCTTGGGAGAGGTAAGGCCTGTCTGCTGAGCTACATCACAGGAATGGAAAGGAAGGGCTGCAGGGCTGGCTTACCCGGTGGTTCTGCTGCTGAGCCAACTTGTGTTACACCTGGGGCTTCTTTACTAAAATGAGAAGGGGGAACTTTCTCAGTAGCTCAACTTTAAGCAGAAATACTGGAGAGAGGGGAAAAAGATGTTCAACCTAACTCAAGGCCAGACTGGCCTGTAGAGAACAAGGCCCAGCAAATCAGAGGTCTGTGTCTGTGAGTCTTCAGTCTGAACTGGGATCTCACTGGTCCGTGAACACGGTGGGGGAAAGGGAAGTGTGGAAGTGAGGTCTCAAGAAGTCTAGGAAACTTGTAGGGCATTCATTTGCTGTAGTGAGTCTGAAAGTGAACTCACTGTGAAAGCATGACTCTAGCTTTAAGATTAAAAGAAAGAGGTAGCTGAGCAGCTGAGCTTCTGTCGCTTCCGGTCTCTTCCTCTTGTGCCTTACTTGTTTCCTCACTTCCAGGGAGAAGAGAACCATGAAGACAGATGTAGGCAGAAACCAGTAGCACACAGGAGGACGCGTGGACCAATACCCAGTCTACCATGCAAATGTTATATCCAATAAAACTTCTTTTACACACTTTGCCTGAAGATATTATTTAATGAACCAATCAGTCCATCCACTTGGCCCTCTAGTAGTTTGCAAATGAGGTCTCCCATCAGCACTATAGGAGTCTACCCGCACTTTCCATAGGAAGCCCTCAATATTCAAGCTCCAAGGGTTATTAGGCTTCTAGTGCATGACTACATTTCATAGGAGACTACAACAAGCCACGCTGAGCACAAAAGAGGCCAAGGGGCAGTGGCAGGCACTGTGGACCATGGCTGAAAGCCCTGGGTAGGGTTTACTGGAAGAAGAACTTAGAGAGGTCTAGTGCAGTCTGCATTACCCCCCCCCCCCCCCAGGGATGGACCAGAGAGGGGCTGTGAGGTGCAGCTTCACAGGAAACAGCAAGCCAGAAAGGAAATTTCTCAGTGTTGGTGTTAACTAAGGAGTGGCGTATCTCTGAGATGGTGGGACTTCCTCAAAAGCATTTGCAGAGGACAGAAGACCCCAATCTGAGCCTGGGGAAAGAGCTGGCCATATTAGGAGTCTGAGCTGGTAAACTCTGAGACTTCTAGTTCTGACAGCCATGTTTTGATTTTAAAACACACTTATTTTGTCTTTTGAAGGTTTGACTCAAGCACCTCCTGAACGGTATTATCACAGTACTGTGGTAATACTGGATAATAGTACTGGGACAACAGGAACCCAGGAGGCACTGAAGACTGGCTTTGATGAAGAGTTTGTCCACTGTCATCCAAAAGTGTGAGTGTGAGTGTGTGAAGGGCAGCATATCTTCCTATTCTGAAGATATGGCAGACAGAACTTAGAGGACTCACTGCGTTAAAATGTGTGTGTGTGTGTGTGTGTGTGTGTGTGTGTGTGAAGGGCTGCGTGTCTCCCTCTTCTGAAGAAATGGCAGGCAGGCCTTATTAAATATTGATGAAATGGGAGAGGACACAAAAAGTAGAAAGATATGTCACGTTCTTGGGCTGGAAGAATCAATATTGTTAAAGTATCTACACTATCCAAAATGATCTACAGATATAATGTAACTAATCAGAATGTTAAAAATGGCATCTTCACAGAACTAGAAAACACAACCCTAAAATGTATATGCAACACCCAAATCCCCCAAATGGCCAAAAAGTATATAAAGCTGAACAAACTGACTTACAAATGTATTACAAACCCATCCTAGTCACAATAGCATGACAGTGGCATTAAAACTGACACTAATGGGACTGCAGTGAATACATTGACTTAGCCAGTTTATATCTGACAAAGGTGAAAATAATTTGCATTGGAGAAATGACTGTCTTTTCACTCAGTAGTACTGGTATAGTTCAATATTTAGTCACAACAGATGAATCAACTAGACCATTTTTTTAAATAAAAATAGACTCAAATTGCATTACAGGCTTAAAGGAAGATTGAAACAAAGTTATGGCTGGGAAGGTGGCTCAGTGGTAGAGCGCTTGCCTTGCCTTGCATGCCTGAGGCCCTGGGTTTGATTCCTCAGCACCACATAAGCAAAAAGAAAAAAGCCGGAAGTGGCGCTGTGGCTCAAGTGGTAGAGTGCTAGCCTTGAGCTAAAGAGCTGAGGGACAGCGCCCAGGCCCAGAGTTCAGGCCCCATGACCGGACCTCCCCGCCCCCCCCCAAAAAAAAGAAACAAAATTACTAGATGTGGCAAAAGACAATACACTGAAGACTTTTTTGAAAAGACTCAAAGGTACAGAGAAAAAAATAAAAATAGACAAATGGAATTACATAAAACAAGAAAGCTGCTAGGTGTTGGTGGCTCACGCCTGTCATCCTAGCTACTCAAGAGGCTGAGATCTGAGGATCACTGAAGCCAGCCCTGGCAGGAAAGTCCATGAGACTTTTATCTCCAATAAAATACTCACAAAAAGAGAAGTGGTGCTGGGTTCAAGTGGTATACCACTAGCCTTGAGAGACAGAAACTCAAGAACAGTGCTCAGACTGAGTCCAAGCCCCAGGACTGGCAAAACAAAAAACACTCCAAAACAAAAAAAAAATACTAGAAAGCTTTTCTGCAGTGAAGGAAACAATATAGTATTGAGATAGCCTAAAGAATCAGAAAAACTATTTATGATCTGCCAGACAATGGGTTGATAATTAGAACATATTAAGGACTCCAAGAATAATGGAAGATGCATTACATTCATAAACTGATTTGTTAGATGGTAAGTTTTTGGAACAACACTGTAATTTAAAAAAAAAAAAAAAACAACTCCAAAAACTTACCAGATACTGGCGGCTCACACCTGTAATCCTAGCTACTAAGAAGGTTGAGATCTTAGGATTATGGTTTGAAGTTAGCCCAAGTACAAAATTCTATGAGAGCCAGGTGCTGGTGGCTCACACCTGAATCCTAGCTACTCAGGAGGCTGAGATCTGAGGATTGCATTCAAAGCCAGCCCAGGCAGGAAAATCCGTGAATCTCTTTATCTCCAATAAAACCACCAGAAAACCAGAAGTGGTGCTGTGGCTCAAGTGGTAGAGCGCTCACCTTGAACTGAAAAGCTGAAGGACAGTGCCCAGGCCCAGAGTTCAAGCCCCACGACCGGCCAAAAGAAAAAAAAGGTCAATGATACTCTTATTTCCCATTAACCAGCAACAAGTCAGAAGTGGGCGCATGACTCAAGTGGTTGGGCACAAAGAGGCCAAGTCTCAGCTTTAAGCAAAGAAGGCAAGTGAGAATCAAAGTCCATGAGTTCAAGCTCCAGTCCCAGCACAAAAATATAACAAAAAAGAATACCAAAAATAAATAATCAGATCAAAATATGAGTAACGTATCTCAAAAGACATTTTCTACAAGGAAGACATAGAAATCCTCAACATGTTTGTAAAATACCCTCAAATTACTAATCATCAGGGAAGTGAAAGTCAAACCATCTCATCCAGCAAGGATGGTCATTATCAAAAGACTAATGCTAACAAGTACTGGTGAGAATGTTCCTGAGAAGCTTTTAAGTGCTTTGCCGCAGAGATTATTCATCCTTCTACTTCAGCAGGCATTCAATAAGAAGTTTATGAGTGAGTGAATCAACTCTGGATACGAGTTAGTCCTAAACATCCTGGTTGTGCTTAATGCGTGACACTGGGATGAACTCCAGTTGACATTTACAGTCTATAAAATCCTTGAGAACACACCGATTTCTACTGAGCATAGTGTAGCAGTTTTGTCCAGAACTGAAACATACAATTTAAAAATCAGAGTACTGGGCATTTGGTCATTACTAGCACTAATTAAGACTAGTAAAATCAAAGGTTTAAATAAAACCCCAATGTTGCAAACTTGTGACTAGTACACATTCTGTAAAGGCAGATGCTTTACTAATCAAAGAAACATTATTATTTTGTAGGCATTCTACAGAGAACCCTGACCAGATGAATATTTCCAGGTTGCCACAGTACTCTAGGCAGTGAATGCTTGAATTTTTTGCAGTATTTGTGTAATGCTAATTTTACAGGCTGGGATACCTAAGATAGTAAAAGTTGAATCTAAGATAATTGATGTTATTTTGGGAACTCCAAGCTATTTTTTCAGTAATAATTTAAACAGCCAACTGGTGAAAGAGAAGGAGAAGAAAGAATTACCTAACATTTCTCTAACTCACTTTTCTCATCCCAAAATGATGATGATAATAATTCCTACTCTACAGAGTTGCCTTAAGAACTAAATGAATAATACGCATGAAGAGCTTGGACAGGCACATGGCATATGATGTAATGAGTGCATTTCTCATCAAGCATTGTTGCCTCCTCCTTTGTTTCCCCTTCCCATCTCCCCCCTTACCCCCCACCCCGCCCGTCCCCAGCTGAGCACACTTCTCAAGGGAGCAATGTGCGTCCTCCCCCTCCCCCTACATCGTTCCTGAAATGCATGCGTCATTGCAGTCTATCCCTAAATGCGTCTCTATGAGGTTGTCTCACTGATGATATGATTGTGACGTGAAATTCTTTTCTTTTCC